CCGCCCGCCGCACGCGAGCCGCACGCGATGCTGCGGACCCCCCCCCCCCCCTCTCTCTCTCTCTCTCTCAGCTTACCCTCTCTCACCCTCATCCCCGCTCACCCCCACGGCCCAGGTGAGCAGTGAAGCCCACGCGCACACCGCTCTGGAAGAAGGAGTGGTTATGTTTTTATAATGCTTTATTTGCAGTTAGTTTGGACGGCGGAGTACCGCGTGGGACGTAGCGGGGAGGAGCGGGGCGGAGCGCGGTGGGGCGGGGCGGGGCTGGGCGCGGCACGGCGGCGTCGGCAGGCCGCTGAATGTTGCATGCGGTGCGATTGCCACAATAGTCTGGTGCGCGGCAGCAGTGGCGGCAGCGGCACTCTCCCGGCCCTGGAGCCGCTCGCTCCAGCCCTCCCCAGCTCTCCAGGCCGATCCACTTCCTGGCTACAACGACGCCGAGCCGCACACTCCGGCGTGCGCGCGTTACAAGTCCGGCCGCACAACGCTTAAGGGACCGAAATAAGTCAATTCGCAGCCCGAGCTCGAGGTAACCCACAGAACACGAACAGCCCCCTTCTCCACGGCCATCCGGACATAAAGGTGCGACTGTTACCAGATCTACCCCAACGACACACTACGGCAATCGACACCAGACGTACCGACTGAGCCTCCTCTGGAAAGACGTACACCGAGACAAGCCGCAATTTGACTCAATTACATGATGGAGTCCATTTATTACAAAAATAAAACTTCACTCAAAAACCTTTGGAAGGAAAGGCTGAAGCTATGTCACCAACACTTCCTCATAAACTAAATACTCTTGCGCTCAGATTTGGGCGCGCCAATAGCGATTGCCAGCCAGCTCACATGACAATCAAGGAGGACAATGCGTCTGCAACGACAATGCCGATAATTACCACACTTGATTACCTGGCCGTGTCGCGGAGGGGTGCTGCTTAACATTCTTCTCCGCTCCAGCAGCGGTGCCTCTTTTTTTAAACGGACCCGTTTCTGCCAGACAGTAGAGCGACGGGGGGGCGGGAGCGTCATGGTTCAACACCACCTGTTGAGCAGCTCCACACACAAGTTACGTTACGTCTTACGTTACGTCTTACGTTACGTCTTACGTTACGTCTTACGTTACGTCTTACGTTACGTCTTACGTTACGTCTTACGTTACGTCTTACGTTAC